AAACCCCCACCCTACTTTTCCCTACCTGCCTCCCGCCCCTTCTGACTGTGCAACCTGAGGTTACTTCTGTAATAAAGATAACTTGGATGTCTTTGGAGAAGCGCCGAACAGCGTAACTTAGGTAACAGTGTGCATGTCTGGTGGTCAGATGGGTCAGGGAACACATGGATTCGCTAGTCCAGGTCTGTCTGCTGCTTTCGCCAGGTGAAGGGAAGGAGGGTGTGCAAAAACAGATGGCTTAAGACTGCTGCGGGTGTTTGCCACAGCAGAGAAAGGATTCCTGCCTCTGGGTTTTCTGTTTGTACCTTGTACATTTGCCCATTTGAGGACTGTCAGAAAGGTCATGAAGCAGAGCATTTTGGCTCTGAACAAATCAGTGGAGACCAGTTTCTGTTTGATCATTCCATCTTTCCATCAAAAGAATTAAGCACATCTCTGCTTCTTGTTCCTGTCCTTTCCCGTGTGCTGTGCCGGCATTTGTGTAGCCCTGAGTTAGTGGAATTATGCTAATGATTAATTCAGTGTAACTGAGGGGACAAAAACTAGATTTTAGAGTTTTCTGTTCCTAACCCTGTTAACCCAAGTTAGCCATGGAGAATGTGGTTATCGCCTGCTTCGGTGAGTTGCCATCTTCCACCTTTGTCCCAGCCTGTTCATGACAGTCCTCGCTTTTCCATTCAGTTCTCCCTTTCCAGTGCCTTGCAGTGTCAGGTTGGTAAAGGGTAATCATAGTGGGTATGATAACTGGCTTGGTTTTCATTTTTTTATTGATTGATTTTCTTAGTGGCTGTTTTCAGATCAATCAGTGGTAACGTGGATAGAGGAAAACGAACAGTCTGCCTAAAATCTTTGTCCCAGTCTTGACTAGGTGCCTTAAACTGGTGGGTCTTGTTAGTGCCTAGAATTACTGTGGCTTTTCTGGAGCAGTTCTGGTGTATAAAAGGCGCTGAAGAAGCTAGACACGTGTCATTGTTTTTACAGTTGCCTTTTTTTTTCTTAAATCCGAGCCCAGACATTAACACTAACCTTAAACGGTGTTAAAATATCTTGGATGGGATTTTTTTTTTATTCCTAGCAGCTCTGAGTAACCATGCAGCTGAGTTCTGCTCTCAGCTAATCCTCCAACCAGGAGGAGTTACTAACAGCGTAGCATGATGGTAACTAAATTTAAAGTCTGACCCAAGTCAATGTGCAATCTGATCTCTGCTGTGCAGAGGGGAAAAAACCCAAAGTTTCTTTTTGATAGTGCAGGTGGCTCAGTCTTACCTGATCCAGCAATGAGAATTAATTTTGTTTCTTTAAATTTTAAACTTTCTGTCTTGTTTTGTTTTGTTTTTTGAGAGGACATTTTTATTTCCATACGGAGGAGTAGTGGAGAAAAATCTAGTACCAGCTGAGCTAGCACTTGACAGTGCTGAAGCACTGCTTGTATTATTAGTAATGCTCAGGATTCCTGTGGTTCTTCTGTTTGCGGAGAAGATCATAACAACCATGGCATAAAATTTGGATCTGCCTAGAGCTCGTTACACAGGATCTTGATTTTACAAGTTTGATAGCTGTTCCCCAACATTAAGAAATATTAAGAGACTCCCTAAACCGTGATAAATAGGTAGTTTTCGTGAGTTGAGCTACAACGCGTTGGCAGGGGCAAGGAGATTGTCTTACACATACTTTTATTCACCTCTTGTTCTGTAGTAAAAAAAAAAAGTGGTTAAACATTGTCTTTTTCTCTAACAAAAATTTTTGTAACTTACTAGATTACGCTTAAAATGCGTTTCACTTCATCCTGGAAAACTTGGAAACCGTTTCTTTTTCAGGGCCATATGCCAACAGTTCAGCTCTTAAAGAAGTATGACCTTATGCAATTTGCCGAAGTCACAAAGGCTGTGAGGTATCACAATTATTGTATTGCATTGTGTGCTGGTTCAAACAGTATTAAGGAAAAAGTATTTATTTGGGATGATTGAGGAAGGCAGGGGAGGGATATTGCTGCCAAGTCAGGATTTCTTGTTTGGGCGAGACCTTCTCATCTTTTCATTTCTTCATCCTTGTAGTGAAGGCAATCTTCTCCTACTGAATGATGCTCTGACAAAGCATGAGACCTTCTTTATTCGATGTGGAATCTTTCTTATCCTTGAGAAGCTGAAAATCATCACGTACAGAAATCTCTTCAAGAAAGTGTAAGCATAACAAGAACTACATTTTTGCCAAAGCAGATTTAATATGGTTTCAACTGGGACTGAGATAGAAATGTATATGCTCCTTAGTTCTCTCTGAAGAGTTCAATTCCTGTTAAAGTGGAAAAATGGCAGAAAGGCCATTTTTTGAAGAACTGGAATTCTTAAGTCATTGTTTCTCAATAACAGACTTCTTTTCTTTCTTTCAGATATTTACTACTCAAAACCCATCAGCTATCTCTAGATGCCTTTTTGGTTGCCCTGAAATTCATGCAAGTAGATGATGTTGATATTGATGAAGTCCAGTGCATTTTAGCTAACCTTATATATATGGTATGTGCTGACCAGTTGTTGTTTGGTCCTTCCAGACTGATTAGGTAGAGATTATAAGTATATTGCAAAAAACCATATCGGTAATCCCAAGTTTTCTTGGGTAACAAAGTTGATTCACTTGTGCTCAAAGTGAAGTGTTTTCATTTGCCTGGAGGATTTCCTCTAGCTCCTGCCTCTTTTGCAGGAATCTCTTATAACTGAAGTTGAATTTTACATTACAAGTCCAGTACAGAGATTTCTATACACGCATAAGTACTGACTTAAAAATACAGAAATTGCAACTGGGAGCACAAAGGATTTGTTCTTCTGCATTTGAAGTAGGAGACTCCTAACATTCTAATATTAGAAGAAATTAAAACTAGATTACTTTGGTGTTGTTTCACATTTTGTCTTTTACTCTAAATGAATCTCAACTACTCATGAGCAGATAAAGGCTTGAAATCAAGAGACTTTTAATAATAAATCAGAGGTTTTGGAGCAGCTTTGCAGTGTCAGCAAGAAAAGGAACCACTTGTCTGTTTCTGAAGCAGATGATTTGGTATGGTCTTGGAGTACCAGAGGGTGGGATTAGGTGCCTGGAAGATTTCTTTCAGTGTTACAACACTACGTGTCTGAAAAGGGGAGGTGCTGTGTCATTTAGTTTATTGGGTTTGAAATAGTGATTAATTAAAATCCTCCTTTTAAAATGAGGAAGGGTAAATTTAGGAACGCTTCTGTAGACCTCTGTCTCTTGGAGGAAATGCAGGCAGACCAGTAGGAGCCCCTGGCAAGAGGCACTTGGTCTGACAGCACCGTCAGTATGCATGCAAACATGGTTACGGATCCAGCTTTCTGCTCACCCCGTGGGCTGACCCACTTACATAAAGTGGGTCCTTAGAGCTATCAAGTTCGGTCGTGCAGTGGTGGTGGAGTGCAGACGCGCATTTTGCTTTGCTGGCTGTCATCTGAAGACAGCTGAGGTTCTAGGCATCGTGTACCAGCTTCCGGTACTAACGCTGTCTTTTCCTCCTCCTGCCAGGGTCACATTAAAGGCTATATATCTCATCAGCATCAAAAACTTGTGGTCAGCAAGCAGAACCCATTTCCTCCGCTGTCAACAGTGTGCTGAGTATCGCATCTTATCCACGCAAGTACTTTTCGGATGCTCTGCTTGCCCAGTGGAGCTGCTCCTAATTGCCCCGAGAACATTGTAAATGACCTGGTTCTTGTCCAGGGCTGGAATACCAGGAACTGTTTATGGCTCCTTTCCCAGAAGGACCAAGCCTGCCAGTGTTACAAAGTGCGTTGGGATGAAATGCTGACTTTTCAGTGATGTTTTCCGCAGGCTTTCTAGATCATTCAAACTATTTCATGAGGAAATAAAGCAAAGCATTCCAAATTCTTTCCAAACTACTTGAAGTTTTTATCAAGTACTTTGTGTTACTATTTCTGCATTGATCTTTTAAAGAGAACTATAAACCTTTGTTACTTGTGTTAATCCATTCTTCAGAGTGGAAATGATGTTTTCTTTCATGGTTTTGATTTTTTTCTTTTTTTTAGGTCTCTTCAATAGTCTTGCTGGTACTAAATACCCTTTTCAAGCCTTGTCTGAAAAACTAGAGAGGTGCTTGACACTAAAAGCTTTACTGTGTCAGTGATACCTACGGGTTCAAATAAATGTGGGATTTTTGTCTGTAGGTGCCCACAGATAAGATTAGGGGTTTTTCAATTCTGGTAATATTTTGTTTCATTTTGATATGATGAACAAAAGCTTATATAAGTAACTTCTCCACACTCTGTTCTGCTTCTGGGGAAGATGCTGCCATTGGATCCATTAGTTTGTGTGTTACTACCTTGGGGGCTTTGTTTGTTTGGTTTGGGGGTGGTACAACATAACTTTGCCCATAGTGGTGGGATGGTAGTTTTGGGGGTTTTAAATTAAAGGAAATAAAACATTTTCCCCAACCTCCCTTTGAGAGATGGGTCTCATTTTACCCACTGACATAGAAAGGGAAAACACAGGTACCATGTATGAGGAGAAGCAGTTTTTTAGTGTGGTGAGAGTGTCAGCTCCTAGATCAATGTAGGCATCTAAAGGCTTGGAGTTCCTCTGGTCTGCTTAAGTTTTACTTGTATGGTGCTGAAATGTGAGTTAGCTGAATCAAACCTTAAGGTAACAAGAATTTAGAACACCTATTTCCTTCTAGCAACATTTAAAATCCCAGGAAAACATCAACAACTTTTAAGTCTTAGAATGAACAGTTCTAGGAAACTTAAAGTTGAGTCAGTTTTTAGTTAAATAACTAGGTTTACTGCATCATGGCTTTCACAGTACTGCCTGTCAACAGAAGAAGGAAAGGCAAATGGGCTTTGCTGTATGAATTGGAGTTACATACATCTCATGGCAGCAACTTCCATTGCATGATAGTCAGATGTGTGTACTGTCTGCATCCAGATGTTTCCTTGCAGTGACGTGTGGTTTGGTGTTGGAGGGTTGGTTGTGTTTGTGTCTTACTTCATTTTTTGTTTAAACCATAGTATGTACCTCGCGGTGTTAGTGAATAGAAGTGTTTCCCAGTCACTGTCCTCTAGTGGCCAAGATCCCAGGATACCAGTCAGAAACCAAGTCCCCTTATACTTGGTGGCTAAAAAGCTTCCTCCCGCCAGTCGTTTGTCTACGGCCTCCTGGAGGTGTCCACAAAACTGCCGGTTTGTGAGGCTGACGTTGAGTACTCGTTTGCAGTCCTCAGCCGGAAGGTACGAAACCTGCAGCTCGTCACCCTGGAGTTCGTCACCTTCCATTCTCCAGGCGCTGACTGTACCAGCCAGTTTGGGAATTAAAATGTGTTCTGCAAAGTCTCTTTCAGGGATGCACACAGGAAGCTGGTGGTTGTTGCACTCCACGTGCTCTTGGAGTTGTAGTAAGGCGACGTTGTTCTCACCGGTGTCTTCGTCGTACCGGATGTGTATGTGTTTCTCGCTAACTTGCATTATCTTCTCGGCTCCGCTTGGTCCGTCAGCCCCTGTGAAGTGATGACATTTTACTGCTCTTAGGAGTAATTTGTCATTACTGCCTGCAAACTGACAGCTGCCTGGTCGTGCTGAGACACACCTGCGGGAGGGAAGCTAAGGCTGCTCTTTCTTCAAACCGCTGCGGTAAAGGTAGACTAGGAAAGGTATCTTGGCAGCTTTTTAATGCTGTGTAGACGCGTGCATCATTTCAGTGGGGAGGACACGTACCCGATTAAAGAAGTGAATTTTGGCAACAAAAGCCACTTCCTAAATCCACCTGGTTTCGCTTATCCCTAAGTGCTGAGTTCTGCAGTGTGTTCGAGAGGCCGTGGTCTCTCGGCTTGGCTTGTAAGGGGGCACAGGACAGCTGTAGTTCTACTTCAAGATACTTGACCGAGATGCTTAAGCGAGCTGACAGCAGATTTGTTTCTTTCCAACAATATGCAGCAGAAATTTTAGTAAGCTTTTTTTTCCCCCCCCTCAAATTAGCTTGTCAGTACTGACATGTACCACAAGCAGAGAAAATGTTCGACCACCTACCAGCACCAGCCCTGATTTCAAACTGGCTGTGCAGAAGGGCGCACTCCGCTGTAGTCAGTACAAAATTACTTTTCAGCAGCACTCCTCCGCAGAAGCCCTTCCCTTCTGAGTTTAGCAGCAGGACCTAAGAAAACACAAAAGGACCATAGGGGTAGCACTCTCCACGGGAGGTTGAGTGATGGGTTTTGTGAACTGCTGGAAATACCTGCCAAGGAAATCGCCCATCACGTTTCTTCCTGGTTTCACTTATCAGATTGTCACTGTCCTGAAGTCTCCCACAGGCACATTGATCTAGCAAGTGAATTAAAATAAAATCAGAACCTCATGCTGTATCGTTTCAAGGCAACTACTACCTGCAAATATCTGACTGCTTCCAGCCTGACTTGGGGATTTTGTCTTTGCACCAAGGAAAAGGGCATTTTCTCAGCTGGTGAAAATTGGAATAATTTGCTTGGCATCTGTAGTCCAATAGCTTAGTGGTGGTGCTGAACATCTTGGGTCATTGGGCTAAAGCACAATTAGAACTCAG